CAAAAGCAGATTAGCTACATAGCACTGTGCAGGAGATAAAAGATTTGAATACTGAATGTTTAATTAGACTCATAATCCATATTAAATAAATTTCTTAAAAATTAGTGAATTTAATACTTTTTTGGCTAATACTGATTTATTTTTGTATAATCTACTTTTTAAAAGTTCTACTCTAGAATTTTGCTAAAACATATTAACCTATTTACAGCTTACTAAGATAAAATACATTAGTTTTGAAACATTCTATTCTAGTGAATAATATAATTTTTGGTCTAACATGCATATTTGAGAGCTACACAAATTATTTCTGGAGATCTAAATATGAAAGTAAATATTAAGTTATTCAAGACTGGTAGTAAAACTGCAAAGATTACATACTCTGTACATGAAACAGCTAATGGGCTACCACTGTGATTTATTGCTTTTGATAGAAGACCAACAGCTCTTTACAAACAATAAAACCATGAAATTAAACAAAAAAAACTGATGTGAAAGATTAAAAAGTTGAAACTGTGGAGTAATTTGAAAATTTCTAGCCAAATACTGCATTGAAACAAGGCAAAAAAGTTATAATCCATTTTATTTCATATTTTTCAACTTTTCTTTCACTGCACATGGATTATTTCACTAGTTACAAAACATAATATTCTACAGTTTATTATAATAATTAAAACAACCCTTACTGCTAATGCTTCATCAACATCCTCCAAACAGCCTTTTTTATAAAGTTCTGGTTGAATCTTTACTCTCTTGTGGTTTTTCAAGAATGATTCATTCCATTCTGCTTTCAATCCTATCAATAATATAATAATGAAATGCACAAAAAAACATAAAACAAAAACACTTCATGCACTTATAATCATACAAGCTAAGTCTGAAATTAACAAATGTTCCATTTGGTAACCAAAACTGTAATTTAAGTTTTTGTACTGCATATACATAAACAGCATTTCAAATAATCTACTAACTCTCAACAACAAGACAAGCTGACAAGTTGTGATATTGAAATGAAAGACTTCCTGAGTAACAATTTGTGGGAGGTAAAATGAAAGTTCTGACATTTTGTTTTAATAAACCTTTGATTTGAAATTAGATTAATAGAAATGTGAAAATAATCTAAAATTTATCAATATATTTATTATAAATAGTAGACATACTGGTCTATGAAAAGTACTTATTCTTTTTTATTAAAATCTCACTCAAGACTAACAGCATTTGTTATATTATTATTTAACTTTTTTTTGTAGTCACCATTTCAGAAACATGACAAAAAATTCAAACTGAGAAATGTCATATCATTAAAAATTCAGTATTTTTACACAGAATTTTATGTACCTTTACTATAACAAATTAACGCTGTTTTTTTCAGTCACTATTTAGAAAAGCTTAGCTTTGAGTAACCTGTATGGCAATTCAAGGACAGTAAATTACCTGAACCATTCCAAGGTAGAGTAGGAATTCCTGCTGTCTGTGCAACAATTGAAGAAGCTATCTTGTCTCCAAGTGCCCACATGGCTTTTTCAGGTGGTCCTTCAAAGAACAAAATATGCCTTGATTAAACAAATTTAAATAATACTTCAATAAAAAGGAATATTGGTTAAAAATACACTAGTAAGTGAAATATAGCTAAAGAGTGAAAAGAGAATATGACTTATGGAATACTACAACATACAATTTTTTACATATACCAGCACTCAATTTTTACCTTGGAATTTTTGGAGTACCTAATCTGTCAAGACAATATTTGTAAACTTCCTTAACTGATTTTAAGTCTTCCTTATCCTTCTTCCAAAAAATTAACAAAAAATGTGTAAGTGATGAAATAAACCAGGTTGGTCCATGTCAGAAGTGTTAAAACAGTTTAACTTAATTTATTAAAACTGTTTTGCAGATCTAGCATACAAACTGATAACAACAAAAAGTCCTTAATTCAATCATTATGTAATGCAGAAAACATTTTTTTTTAAATAGGAAACATTACAGACAACAATAAAATACTATTCCATTTGTATGAATCTTCTACAGCAAAATTTTGTTACCATGAGTTTCAATTTTATATCGGTCAATCTACCATGATTCCTAAACTACCTGTAAAATTTTTATCCAAGTATGGCTACAAGTAGAATCTATCATTTTCTTACAATGAAAATAGATTTCCGAGAAATACTTACCTCTTCTCATTTAACAGGTTTTCTCAATCTTCTACTGCCCTCTAATGCATTGAAAAGAAATTTTTCTCACTTTATGCACTAGCCTTTACCTTATACCCCATAAGTTTGAGCTGCTCATTTAGCATGCATTGACCATGTGACAACCCTCCACCAATAGGGTGGGAATCATGTGATGTAATATATAAAATAAGTGTCCCCTATGGAAAGCATCTATAGAGAATCAAACATGGGTGCTTTGTAATAGATGGGAAACACAACTGCGGGGAACAGCACCACATCTGCAACAAGTATGCTCTTTGCCCTCAAAGAAGTGGAGTGTCGTGAACATAGTGACATTGAGGTCAGGCCTATTAAAGGAAGGACCTAGGAAAATAAAAGAACAGCATATACCCAAACACAACTGTACAGACAAAGTTCCATGTCCAATCCTCGGTATTACGAGCCAGAGTACTGCCAAAAATAAGAAAAGTAGTACTGTGGCCAGGGCAAGCAGGCCATAAATAAGATATACACCAACCCCACTTGTAAGTAAATAGAGTGCTATACTTCAAGCATCCCAAATTATGATGAGGAAGTAAGCAAACAGGAACCTCCAGACAAACTTCCAAATCAACCGTAGGTGACAAGAAGTACAAACCAAACCTAAAATTATGAAGTTGTGTCTAAGCCTCAACCATAAGAACAGGGAGTCATCCTGAACCTGGTATTACAAGCAGGAAAAGAAATAAATCAACTTAACCATAAGAGCCGGGGAAAAAACCTTTGCACCCAGCATTACACCACATGTTCCCCAAGCTCAACTGTAGATGCAAGTAAGTGAAAACATCCTGTGACTGCAATTACCATGAAGGGAAGCATCTATTGGCCTTAACTGTATAGGAACAGGGCACTATCTACCTGAGCCCGGTATTACAAGGAAGATACAGCATTGGTTGGTCCAGCTCCCACCTACATCAGCACCTCTAAGAACAAAACTCCAGGAGAAAGAAGGAAGGAAGGTTCCCAGCTTTGCCCTCTTTTTAAATCAGTGTAGTGATACCTAAGGTTATGAAATATGGTTGACACTCATGAGGAAGCCTCCATGGTCCACCACTCCAGCAGTTAGAAACTGGTAAACGGAAAGGACTCACAAACTCCACTTGATGAAGAGAGGGGTAAAAGGCAGTGTGGTGTCTGGAGGAACGTCACATCTGAGAAAGTGCAATGGATGACCATGAGACCTTATTTTGAAAAGCAGATTGCTCCTGATTTATTCAATTGAAGGAGCAGCAGGGATGGGTAGCAATTCCATTCTGCTTTACTCATGATAGTCCATGAATGACGGTCCAAAAATGACTTAACAGAATATGACATATAGAGAAATATGTATATATATAAATACCTGACAAGGCAACACTCACTACTGAGCGAGATCTGAGTAGTTATCGAAGAAAAAGGAGGCTCCTGGAATAAAATAAAATAGGAAAAGACACTTACCCAAATTAGAGTATTCTTGTGCATGTATAATTGCCAGAGGAGATAGACGATATCCACCAGAGAAAGATAAAGCCATATGGTGCAAGCAATGAGAAACAAAGGCATGGGGAGTGGTCCACTTTCCCACCTGGATGATCTCCTCCAGAGGATGATGAAAATGAGCAGCTAGAGACATGGTGATATGGCAAATCTGATGAGGCAAGACACAATAAAAAAGATACCCTTTCGAGGAGAAGGAAGAGTAAGCCAACCAAATCAGCTGACAAACCCATAGAATAAAAGTGGTGAAGGAAAGGTCACATAACACAGAAGGGTTACAGGAAATAAACAAATGGGACCAAGAACCAAGAAAGGAAGCTGTACAGGCCACATAACACTCCAGAACCCATTCAGGACACAGAAGATGCTCAGGATTTGACCTGAAATAAGCATGAGACATGGATGGGATGGAGATGGGTGAGAAGGCAGATTCACCCTCATGGAAAGTGGATGTTTTGGGAAGTAACGAACGGTCCGTGTAGAGCACCATATATAATAAGTGGTAAGGGAAAACCTAACACATAAAGGCCAGGAGAAGGAAATATGTCTTTAGGGAAGGTAATACAGGGAACATGAGGCCAAATGTTCAAAGGAGGGTGAAAAAGGGCAAAAAGGATGACACTGAGATCCAAGTCAGGCACAGGAAAAGACCTAGAAGAATCTAGTAAAATGTACAGTGTTCAACAAGGCTGCTGTATAACCAGAAATGGTCGAAAATGAAAGACCCTGATCAAACAGCTAAGTGAAGAACCTGGGAAAGGTGAGGAACAGATGGATGGAAGGGAAGGAATCCATGTAAGAGACACCAACAACAAAGAGTAAATCAGTGTCACTGGTAAGACTGACATAGTAGAAGGTCTAACTGAGAGGGAAAGGAAAGAAGCAACATGCAGTGTCAGACCCTGCCTTCTTGCAATGGACCTGACAAAAGCTACACATGAAACTGGAGGAGAATGGCAGGATGGAAGACATCCAAATGAGGTTGATGAAATAGAGATGGAGACAGAGGTAGTGGAAGAAGAGACAACATTTGGAGAGGCCTTAGGAGAGGGAACCAAGGCTGAGCTGGCCAAAACAGAGCTACCAAGAGAACCCGACACAGAATGGTGTGGATGATGAAGATAACTATGGGGAGGAGACATATAGGAGGGAAGGCACAAATGTGAAGGTCCCTCCAATCCTGACTGAGGGCATATACACCTAAACCCTGAGGATGAGGAACTAGAGACCAGAAAGGCTGCAATTTGATGTTCAGATGAGTGGTGAAAACATTTACTTGCAGGGTACCCAGACAAGAGTATAGCCACTGGAAAATGGGAGGATCTAGGGACCACTCCATGGGAAGGACCTTATGTGGACACAATCACCGATCTGCATCAAGGAAGCTCACATAAAAGGGAATGAGAGGCATCATAGGAAACAGAAGAAACATTCAAAATGTGATATGCCTGTGTAATTATCTGGATGAATGGAGTAGAAAGGTGAAATTCCTCGACAGGTGCCTGAACTGGAGGTACAGCAAATGAAGGAAGAGTAAATATGCTGTCTATTTCATCCTCCACCCAAATACGTTCATCAACTGGAAGTGGTGGGAAAGAAGGTCCCATGTAAGAAACTAGCTTCTGATGAACCAAGGCTTACACCTCCTCGGCAGACAACGTCGATCCTGAAGCCTGGGTAACCGAATTGTGCGAGTCTCCAGAAACATCAGGAGATATTGTGGTATAAATGGTAAATTACAAATTTATAATTCACAAAAAGAGAGTGGAAAATGACAGATCCAGACTCTCAAAAATGAAAAAATTATCCAATAAAACTTAAAATTGGTTTGGCTGTAGTGAAATACAAATAACACAATGTACTAAAAACTGAATGCAAGTGAGAAACACATTCCAACTTGTAGTGTGCCATTTGAGAAAGTGAGGTACATGTAGAATAATACAGAGGGGAGCCAGCTGCTCTAGGAGGGTGTGTCATGCTCCTATTGGTCTAAATGAGCAGCTCAAACTTATGGGGTATAAGATAAAGGCTAGTGCATCAAATGACAAAAATTTATTTTCAATACATTAGAGAGCAGTAGAAGATTGAGAATAGCTGTATGTGACAGGAGGTATGCATTGTATCAGAATTAATCTGCTTCAAAACAATAATTTCTGAAAAAATATAGAATTCAAGCTAAGCAATCTACACATCAAATAGGTGTTGGAAAAATTCTATTGTAAAAAACTAAATGCAATAAATGCTTCTAAGTTACTGTAACTAAAGTGTAAACAGCTGAAAAGAAATAATTATGTACATATACATAAAAATAGGAGCATATTATGATTATTACAACAAAATATTAAATAATGAAAGGAGTTTGAAATTTAATATGCTAATAATACTTTTGTTCAGAAAAAGTTTAACACAAAATTAAAATAAACTACTTACCCATGAAAGCAATATTACTTTTGTGCAATAGCTCTGGAAGTTTGGGATTTTCTGATGCATGTCCCCATCCTGCCCACACAGCCTATATAATAAAATATTTATTACTTTACACAAGTAAAAAGTAGCAAACCAAAAAATATTACTTACTCATATTCATGTTACATCATAATACATAAGCAGCTCTATTTGTTGTTCATGTACAAATAGTAAGTTAGTTCATTACATTCATTTCACATACAAATGAATGCCTAACTTGATGCACAGGCATGAAACAATGTCAAAAAATGGAGCTAATAATAAAGCTGATCAATACAACACTAGCAAACCATTAATACTTAAGAGAGGTCTGTAGACTAAAGTATAAATACAAATTTAAAGAATCACAACAATTTTTGGACTACACACAAAATATAGTGGTATTCAAGGGAATGTTTTGAAAGAGCTCTTGTGATTTTTCTGAAGGATTAATTTAGCATCTATTGGATTGAATGAACCTCATTTAAACAAATACTAGTCATGACTAATAGAAAAAACAAATATTTACTTGTACGTTCATGCATGAAATTATTGTTACAGCTGAGTCTTCAGTTGTTAGTTAGGTATAAATTTCCTAATTATCAATTAAAAAAAAGTACTTAAACATACACTCACAATAGAAACATCTCCTCTCGATGGGCATATAGAAATACACAAAAATTGTTTTTGACAAGATGTCTATTTTTTTATGAATAAATAACATTGTTTTAGCCAAAACCTACAATTCACAAGACACCAACTGAAAGCCACCCTCCTGGTTATTGTTATAGTAACACTACACTTCATAAACTATGTATTGATTTGTATGAAAAACTCCTGTGCAAATAATTTCTTTATGTAAGTGCCAAAACTAGGAAACTGCAATCATAACTTACAAAATAAACTTAACATCTACATTTTAATGTATTAACATTTCACATCACAGTCAACAGTATACTTGAAAAATGTACACAGTGATGTGTGTTTTATTCTTCAGCCTACAACCAGAAACAAATATGATTTTAAAATAACGATTGAAAACAAGCCTTGGAAGATTAAATAGTTGATAAATATAAACAGATAAAAAAATACCTGAACATTCAGTCTTTTAGCAATATCTAGTATCAGCTCCACATTAGCATAATTATTGTTATTTGTTCCCCCTGGAACATGTACATAGTGGTCAGCTAGCTTGATGTACTCTGTATCAGCAAGACAAGTAGTAGAATAAAAAATTATTTTATTTCTTAAGAAAAAGGTTTAAAAACAAATTAACATATGTATAGTAATTAATTAAGAATAAAGAAACGGCACAGAAACTTAAATCATTATCCAAAACTAGACTCTATACAGCTGTTTCTAAAACAAAAGAAAAACACAACAAAGGCACATATGGAAATTCAATTGTATAGTTGAACCTCATTAATTCATATCCTCTTTATTTGTATAACAGGTTAATTAGTATCAAACTGCACTCTCCAGCCTTAACTGTATATTAACAATATATATATATACTTTAAATTGTGCAGTTTCGCATTATAATTTTCTAATACCATTAATTTTGATTGTTTTATTGTCTCCTTTAATGCAGTTATCATGTTTATTTCTGTGTATATTCATACATAATATTTATTTTATATGTATATTCTGTTTGCTCAACGATGCATGACAACAAATTTAGAAATGTGGAATCTCTGGTTTTCACTTCTATATTATGTCAATTAAATACACCTGTATAAATGTGCATGTCCATTCATAATTGTTTGTTAATGATCAGTAAGCAAATCATGGAAAGGATTGTGACAAAGGTTTAATTATCAATGCTGTCATAAAAAAGTGTCAGCATTTTACATTTTAATACACTTTTTAAGTCAAGCTCCCTCTATGCGTTTACTCCATTAATATTTCCGTGCATTCATTTTACAGAGTAAATGTTCTTCCAAAAAAAATCAAGATTTTACCTGTACCCTCAGACAAGACTCCTACATTTCTTTTTAAATTTTACACCATCTTTAATTGGTTAACAACAGCACCATAGAGTTGTGAAATCAATGATAAAACCAACAGTCAATATGTAGATCCTTTTATCACTACAGTTTTATTTCCCATTTTTTTTATTCCCTTGCTTTTCTTTCTTCTTTTTTTCTTCTCCTTTTCCATCCCAAATTTTGCCTTTTCTCTTATTCTTGATCATAAATTCTTCCCAAATTTTCAAAATCTCAAAATTATCCCTGTTGCTTTTGGATTTTTATTTCAAAGAATGTTTGACCCTGTCATATTGTAACATACAATTTCTAAATGTACAAATGAAGGAGGCATTAACTAAATACATAATATGCTACAAAATGTATGGTACTTAATTCTATCTAAATAATTTAACTTTAAGCAGGGAAAGACCATACCAAAGGTATAAAATACTACTTGAGAAGAACAATATTTCAAACACACATGACCTAATGATCCTGCATTGATAGCTTAGCAAAATACCAAGAAAAGTGAGCTAACAAGTCCCTTTGGGTAAAATTATTACACAACTAAAATAATAAATACCTTTTCCATCGTACACAGCTACATTATAAATCCAATTAAAGTAAATTTGTTTTAAACAACAGGATACAGGTGACTGCTAGGTTAATTTATTATAAATACACAAACAAAATATCATGCCATAGCAGATGTTTTTTCAAACACAGAAACCTTAATTTGATTTAAGTAACTTTTTTTTATATACAGGTGATCCTATTATTTTCTCTGTATAGATATGTTTATACACATGAATTAATGTCATCATTCAGGTAGATATGTTTTAACTGACGAACTAACAGCTAATAGCTCATTTTCCACTTTTAATATATGTATCTTACATAAGTGAATCTTTTACATTCTACTGACTGGATATTTCACAAAGATAAACACATATCCCTTTTGGTTAAATATGTGTGTTTTACACAGGCACTTTAATGATCTCATATGAATAGAATTTTTATTATATCTATGATGTGTATATATGTATATCAATAGCTCAAGTACTATAAATGACATTAATTGTAAATTGGCAATCAAATCAGCACTGTATAACAATAATGAACAGGGATAAAAAATAATGAAAAAAATTACATTCACTCCAGGGAAATCTATCAGGAAGTTTACATTCCCTCATGTAAAGTTGCATTTCTTCATGAATTGCTTTTTTACTTAATTCATGCAGTATGTTCACTTTCATTGGTCATAGCTAAAGGATTATGGAAGGATCATACATACCCAATTGGGAAAGCTAACTAAAAAGATGAAATTCCTCAAGCAAAGTTAAATTACTCAGGAATGTAATATTTCGATCCCTGAATGAAATTAATACAAATTAATGCCCAAACATTTACAATGAGAATTGAAAAAAAAAGATTTTGTCCATTACCACTACTTATCATTACCATTAAGCTATAATGGAAAATGTCTGTGGTAATGGCTCCCAAAAACATTGGAAACATTCCATCTATCAGACATGATCCAAATGCAGATGTTGAACTGGTTAGCAGCAGTTATTCTTAATTAAAAAGATATTTAAATGTTTGTAACAATATTAATTCATTTATGGATAATGTTCAGTTATTAACAAATAAATTAAAAAATAATGGTTATAAAGACTGACAAATAAAGAAACATTCAGTATACCAGGACAGAAGACCAGCTTTAGGTAGCTGGGCTGATCTAAGCTCACCTAGTTTATACTTAAACAAATTTTTGGAAAGAAAGGGAGAAGGATGGGAATTTAAATAATTATTTCAGGACTATTGAGGTAAGGATTTTTTTAGTTCTATTTAACACCATTTTATAAAAATTATTAAAAGGGCAGAAGTTGGGAGTCTTACTAAAGTAGAAATAGGTTGGTTTATTTCTACTACAAGTTTTTTTTTATATCTAAATATCTAGATGATTGCCAAATTTAACATCGTTTTGTAATATGTAATACTTATTGAAAAAGGTGAGGGTTGGGAGTCTTAAAATTATAGAAATATAGGGTAGTTTATTTATACTACAAGGTTCTTTTTTTATGTCTAACGATTGGGTGTGACTTGCCTTCCCACAACTGGCCACAGACAGGGAAAGGCAGTAAGAGTTGAGATATTGTGAGTTAAAGCACTCAACTCCTAATCCCTAACTGATTCTCCATAGCTGTTAGTTAGTTTGACATTTGCATTTGGATCATGTCTGAAAGATGGAATATCCCCAATACTTTCAGGAGCTATGACCACAGGCATTTTCCAATATAACTTAATGGTAATGACAAGGACTGGTAATGGACAAAATATTTTTGTTTTTTAAGTCTCATTGTAAACATTTTGGCCTTGATTTGTGTGTGTGTGTGTGTGTGTGTGTGTTTCTATATATATATATTTGGCAATATTCTACTATATACTAGTTTATCATACAGAAACATTTCCTCACCAGCATTTGCTTTTAAGTCTTCTGGAGTAACCATGACAACAAAACGAACAACATGAACATTTCTGAACATTTCATAGGCCCAACGGCGGATTGATCGCATACACTTCACTGCAGCAATTCCATTGTTTGCAATCAGAATCTGGATAATTTAAGCAAAAAAAGAAAGAAACATTCTATGTATCTTTGGAGCAAAAAAAACATTAATTTTGCTATCAGATTACTATATATCCTTAACTAACAGAAGAAAAAAGTATCTATCTATCTATATATACATATATGAAAAATTACTCACCCCCAGTAATCTGGCAGTAGTAATCTGTTTTAAATTTTTAACTCTAACCCAACATAAGCACTACCTTCCAAAGACTGGCTGAAAATGGTGATTGGTAATTATAGATGTGAGACACTGTGGACTTATGCATCCATATATATTATTTATTTCTTAATTTTTGCTTCCATATATAAAGTTTGTGAATAGAGTTTAAATCTGATTGATAATGTATCCTTATTGGTGTGTGATTCAAATTTCTTCAGCTACCACTTTTAGTAAGTTGCACTTTACCCTGTCCAAGATCCAGCTTATAAACAGTTTCTTTATCATGATATGAAGTAACCGAAATGTTGACCTTGTTTATAGTTTAACACAGTAAACATTTCAAATAGTTTCTTTATCATGTGATAATGTTTTTATTTTAAACTTATTTGAGTAGTTATACTCAAATATCATATAAAAAGGGTACAGTATGTTATCCTAAAAAAAATTTGAATATGCATATCAACAAGTCATATGATAATTACAGCTGATAGAAAGTCATGGTGGAACAAAATGTATCAGAACTACATTAGAACATTTTTTTGGCATTTCTAGTGTGATACAACCTAAAAATTTATCACTCTTTGGGAAGGGTATGTAACAGTTCTTTCTAAGACAAAATATTTATATGATCAAATCACATAAATGAGTTCAGATTAGAGATTTAAAATTTCCAAATCAGGGATATACTTTGAAAATAACCATCTGCACACAGGCTTGATGTATCTGACTGACCTTTTATCCACCACATAACTGTGAAACTATACATACTATAACTCTGAATGTACCAAGTGTATCTTCATAAAACATAGAAAGCATTTACTAAAAACATTATAAGTCTGTTTTACATCAAAATTATGATTCTACCAATAAAATATTTTAACTAAAAATTTGTTTACGAATTTATAAAGCCTTCACTGAGTCAGACTCAGTAAAAGGTGATTTTCATGTCAAAAGTAAAAATACTTAGTTTCATCTTAAAGTTTTTTCAGTAAAGTTATAATTTTCCTATACTGAAAATGTACTTCCAACAGGTCCTTCCCTCTTCTGACAAGATTAGCTATTCTCATTTATTGCTGCTCTTTATAAGTGAACTTTTTTATTACGCATGCCACAAGCCTTCCACACCCCCTACTGGAATCAAATGATTCCAACATGTCTCATGCAAATCATCATGCATCACCTATCCACCAATAGGAGCATAGTACACTCATATGATGCATGCTACTCTCTCTATGCGCCTCTACCGAACTATCACTTCAAAGTTTGGCAGATGACAGAAGAGCCGGCACTGAGTGGGGAGGAAGGGTTGGAAGTGTGAGAGGAGGGAAATACCTATAGGAAATATATTTTCAGTATAGGAAAATTATAACTTTTAATACAGTACTTCCCTCTACTCACAAGATTAGCTAGAATCCCACATTGATTAGGAGGAGAGACCGGTGGGAGGGTAGAACAGACATACCCTCCAAAAGCTTCCGAATTAGAGAGTCAGATCTGAAGATCTGGAGAGGGGAACTGCACAACTTCTGATCCAGGTATACTCTTCACCCAGTTGAGGAATGTGTAAAAAAATACGATAAGAAAATGAGAGGAGCACATCCTAGTGGGAGAGAAAGCAGTAGGATAATAATCCTAACCCAAGAAAGATATAGTACCACAATCCCACAATAAGAAAATGAGTAAATTAGGATGCATCCCATGGTATAGAGTGGCTAGGACAAGGCAGACCATACTTGGCAAGTCAACTATCTCCAAAACCTCCTCGCGGGGTACTGACACCTGCAGGGTAGGAAGAGGATCATACCGTCTTTGTCTAAAACCCAAGAACCGGACAATCCAGAACTAATTTGATTCCTGAATATTACACAGGATGAGCTCTGAGCTATCGACCTGGGAATGTGACTTCCGGTATCAAAGAAAGTTTATCACATCCAATCAACTCACATGACCGTGAAACAGGTCAGGATCATCCAAAGGGCAATAACATCCACATAACAATAGAAAACAAGAGAGAGACAAGGATAGAACTGGAATAGTCCCACTTATCTCAACTGTGACCCACAACCCAGAAGGAAGAACCAAGGGAGGAAGATAGATAACCCAAAACCTGTGTTGATTGGTTCACTCAAAATCCAAAACCAGCTCACGAGGTACCGACATACATGCAAGGGTAGGAAGAGGGTTCCCAATTGAAGGGGTGAACTTCATTTTGACATCTCGCACATTGGAGGATATTACGTCATCTACACAGGCAAAACATCACCGCCCTACTCTGAACTGAATAGTTTTTGCCATCTGATGTGGAACCTATTCAGGAGGGTGCCTCCACAGTCGACCACCCCAGCAGCTTGGAAATGGTAGGTAGTAAGGACTCTCACACTCCACTAGAAGAAAAGAGGGTGAGAATGTGTTGGAGAGCCCAGAGAAACATCGACACCCAAGACAGTGCAATGGGTGATCACGAAACCCTATTTTGAAAAGCAGACCATACCGATTTATTCAATCAAGAAGTGGCAGGGATGGGCAGCAATCCCCTTTTGCTTTACCCACAAAGTCCACGGGTGATACGATCCGGGATGGGCCAATTTATGAAGCAAGTATCACGAGGTTATTCATCTACAAGCAATCTTGTGAAACAACCTATCTCAAAGATGAGCATGCGGAGCCTTGGAAAGAAAGCACTATTCAACATGGCATACACTATGAATTTCGAGTTAAAGAATACTAGGCCAGGCACCACTCGTCACAGAGCAGGATCAAAGTAATGAAGGAATGAAGATTGGGCCCCTGAAAGAAAATAAATAATTAATAAAGACTTACCCAGTGTCAGAGTGGCACCACAGATTGGAGTAAAGCTAAAGGTGGAAAGCAAAAACCCTAACAATCCAAAACTGCAATATGATGTAAATAATGGGAAATGAACACGTTAGGGTTGGTCCACATGCCTGATTGTAGGATTTCCTCCAAAGGTCGAAGAAGAGAAAAAGGTGAGGTGTCGGATTTGATGAGAAGTAACACAGTACAAAGGATGCTGGGAATGGGACAATGAGGAATAAGCCAATTGGATCAAATGATGAACCCAACTGGTGAGTGTAAAAGGGGAGAGATCCCTGCGTACAGGACATGGAAGTTCATACGGATCAGAAATGGGGGTAGAGATGAGAAATAGAGGGTAGGAAAATAGGCAAAAGGAGGAGTTACCCTCACGAGCTGCTGAGGTTTGGGGGAGGAAGGAACGATTCTGATAAAGGAGAAGATAGGTATGGTAGTAAAGTGTGCGTGTAACATCGATTGAGAACAAGTCAGACCGTCAACGCCCAGAGGCCAGAAGGAGAAGGAAATGTGCCTTAAGGGATAGGTGAAACAAAAAAACATGAGGATCTAGGTTCAAACGGAGGTAAAGTAAGGGAATGGGGGACCACATTAATATTCCAATCTAGAAGGGCAGGTTGCTGATGAAGTTCACAAATCTAAAAGGAATGGATTAAAATGGTAAGGATGGATGAGAGAAAAATCCTGCAGTAAAAAGGGAAGTGGAACTGGAGAGAATAATTGTAGGTGGAGTAAATGAAGAAATCATTGTTGAGCTGGCCAGCGGTGAGACATCAGAAGGACCCGATACAGAGTGGCATGGATCAAGGAAACTACCCAATGAAGTAATTGGATAGGAGGATAAACATATAGGAATTTGTGTGTACAATCCTTGCTGAAGGAATCTATAGCCAAATCCCAAGGATAAGGAACTGGGGTCCAAAATAGGGGGAACTGGTAGTTGAGGGTGGTGGTGAAAGCATTTATGTGAGGAACACCCCCAAAGACTGCAAAGCCACCAGTAAACGAGAGGATGAAGGGATCACTTTGTTGGGTAAACTTTGTTGAGGTGGGAAATACAATCTGCCACGAGGTTGAAAGCACCGGGACATGACACACAATTAAACAAATGTGTTACACGTAGACCCAATATAGGAGATCCAACATGCAAAAACAGAAGGATCTTGACCAGGTGCCGCTTCGGTGATTGATATAAGCCACCACCATGGAAATGTCATAAAGGATCATTACCAGACAATGTCTGGCAATAGGAGGAAAAGTGATCCAAAGTGCAACGAACGGCTAGGAGCTCTAGGATGTTGATATGTAAAGATTGTTTGTCAAGAAACCAAGGACCCAAACCCTCCTGGTGATCAACCTACACACTCCATCCCTGAAGGGATGCGTCCATAAACAGATGTAAGTCCGGACAAGGAGGAGGAAGCAGTACACCTGCCAACATGTGAGTCTTGTCCAACCACCAAAGGAGATCATCTATAAGGGAAGAACGAAGGATGATGGAAGCAACCAAGAGATCCCGAGCAAAGTTCCATTGATTATGCAGAGTCCACTGAAAGGAGCGCATATGCACAGCCCGAGGGGGATTAGTGGTGTCATAGAAGATTACATCCCCAAAAGTGACAGAACCTCACGAGCAGAAAGTGAAGGAGCAAACAGCATGATGAACTGGCAATTCCATAGAACAGAGTCTCAGAGGAGAAGGTTGGGCCCCAATTGAGGTGAGTGTTGACACCCAAATCTACAAGGTATTGGGTAGGATTTAGGAAGAACTTTTCAAATTTGATCAACCAGCCTACCCAAATCGCTTCGAAAAGGAGCTGATGAATATGACAGGCCGACTCCTGTTCAGAATGGTTCAGAAGTAGCTTGTCATCCATGTAAAAATTGAAATGTAGCCCCAGGGCATGAAGATGAAGAGCAAAAGCTTGTGCCACCAAACAGAAAACGAATGAGCTGAAGCCAGCCAGAAGGGTAGGGTACAAAATTGGTGTACCACTCCTAGGTGGACAAACCAAAGACGAGGACAACTGTTCTGAGATGGAACATAAAGAACCTGGAGAAAAAGCTCACCGAAGATTGAGGTAGGACTCCATGATGAAACATGGGAGGTGAATAAAACAACTGAGGTGGGACAGATTAATCACAGGCCTCCAACAAACAGATGGGAGTAAAATCCTGGTGAATGATGTGGACCAGGTTCTATAGCCTGTTGGTGAGGAGGTCCTCTACTGCCTCTGATAGACACTGGCAAGTTACTGTATCCCGAGGACAAGGGAAGGAAACAGGTACATAGGACAAGAGAGGTGGGGCAAGAAATGGAATTTTCTAACCCCTCTGACAAAACCTGAAGAACCCAAACATTCAAGATGAAAGGACGTCATCGATGAAATAAAGCCGAAAGGCGAGCTTCCACCGAATACTCACCGGAACTATTGGTAGCGTATTGTGTGTCATCAAGAAAAACAGCGAGCCATAGCACTGCAAGAAGGAGGTATGGGAAGGGGAAGGACTGGAAATTGCCTGAGTTAAACAGGAAACTAGATAAAGGAAATGGTATATTGTTCCTGTGCAGATGCCACACAAGACTCCAAGGATTCCAGTGCTGTATCAAAGACAAAACGTCTTAAAAATGCCATATGCAAATCATGGAGATAAAGAGCAGATAAACGAGTTCGAAATAAAATAGCATCACAACCTAAAAGGTCCCAACAACATATATACCATGTTTGTAAAACCAGAGCCTCAGATGATAAACGAGCCAATGTGGAGGTAAGGAGGGAGAGGGTATCCCCAGAAAACCCCCTCAGGATTTCCGTGAAGAGTCTCAGACAGGAGATGGATCTTGGATGAGTACTGCAAAAGGGTCATGAAGGTAAGACAGAGATGGGAAAACAGGGCATGTGTGAGACTAACGGGAGATTTGGGGTCCACCCTCCAAATGGGCAAAACTGAAAGCAAAAGCTGTTGGTCGAGAAACAGACAGTCTGCCCTATAAAAAGGCATAGCAAAATCAGGAGGTGAAAACAGGTGATCAAAGTCCTTATCAACATGACCAGATTCCACAGGTTCAGGAGGGGGAGGGGCAATGTCTGGAGATAAAGGTTAACCCATATGATGTTCAATCTCCCTGCAAATAAACATAGCCAAATCTCCCATTGGGTCGCCACCACCTGAAGCCTGTGGTATAGCACCTGTCAACTGTGTGACACTCGAAGTAGTGATATTAACTTCAGAATTTATGGTGATGTAGTTGATAAAAGCATTTGAAGCAAATGAGAAATGTGACTAGAATAAGGGTAAGTGAATTGAAATAATGTCAAAATAAAAACTAAAAAATTAAATTAAACCACTTTGAGAAAATATGATCTCAAACACAAAATCAGATGAAAAAAGAAAGACATCAGAGTGCAAGTGCTGCCAAACTTCAAAGTGATAGTTCGGTAGAAATACATAGAGGGAGTCACATGTCATGTGAGTGTACTATGCTCCTATTGGTGGATAGGTTACACATGATGATTTGCATGAGAGATAAGTTGGAATCATTTGATTCCAACAGATGGATGCCGAAGGCTTGTGGCATCATAATAAAAAGGTTTCCATATAGAGGGCAGCAGTAAACGAAAATAGCTAATCTTGTGAACAGAGGGAAGTACCGTTATCAGAAACTTAGTTATATCTTATATTTTCTCTACCCTAACACTACCTGTAGTAAAATCACTAGTGAAATGAATAGCTAAAAATATGAAATAAAATAAAAAATTCTTTATTCTTTTTTATTGAATGTATAACTGTCACAAGAGTTTCAAAGTACTTAACTCAATTTCAGTTATTAACCTTTTCACATCTGCTCATTTAATTTTATGGTTTTACTCCAAGACTTTGTACAAGGGAAACAGTCTATTCCTCTGTGAAAAGCAATAAATTACAACGGTAGCACATTAGTTGTTTTTTGTAAACATCCAAGCAGAGCATGTGATATGCATTATCTCTACACTTACAGGCATAACTATGCTAAGCCTCACTTTTTTTCACTAAGTTGGTTCATCAACTAAAAATTTATGTAGTTTTTAAAATATTCATTTTATAATATGCCAAAAATACTATAATTTATCTGGCTTTCTAACTAGACTATAAATTGTGAAAAAAGTTCTGTCACCTGTTTGCAGTACAAGCACAGTCCTCATAAAAAAGGCAAAACAAAACTACTGTCAATTGTGTACATACACCTGCTAAAAAGAAATAACTGTATCATTGGTTATAAGCATGTCAATTGGCCATGTAGAGGTGACTGGAGAAAGATGGGACAAATTTATTGATACCTCTGGAAGTCAACCAGATGAGAGGTTTGGATTTTATATTCTTATTTGTAATTATGTATCATCTGTGTTTCGAATTGGTTGGAAACTGTAGAAGCCTATTACTGAAGATATAAAATTCATCTGTGGAGAATCTGGAGTACAAACACGTCACACAATACAGAAAAGTGAAGAGTGAGAATTCTTAAAAATAGATCCTGTTTAAATTAAGAAATTAGAACTTACAATGCTAGTGCTGCCTTACTTTAAAAGTTTTTAAAATGGCAAAACATATTTATGATTTATACTTTTACAGCTATAATTACTCATGCCAATAGTTCAAATACTTTTAATAATCTGGCTAACTATCCTACTTTTTAATTTCATTGGTTAGAAATCTTTAATTAAAATTTCATATAATAATTTAAAAAATACTACGAGTCCACTTCTTTAAAAATAATCAAATATATAACTTTTATTACATTTTAATTAAGTAGTGATACTCCTCATTAAACTTCTCTCTTAACTAAAGTATTAACTAACCTTGTTTATCACTCGGTTCCCTCCAAATCTTTTAACAAATTCCTCTGGTGTGGCAACAGTAAAGTCTTTTCCATCAATACGTGAAGCTTCCTTTCCTTGCTGCAGCAGATGAGTTCCTGACATCGACTGTCTGTATAATATGAATGTCAAAAATTGTACATCAGCAACTACTAACACAAAATTTACACTGTCTTTCCTACAAATATTTTCTTTAAATTTTGCTTCTAATATACTATAAAAACTGTTCCATTTCTGAAGCATTATACAGTTCAAGTCAATAAATATATATTATGTTCAGAACAAATTTAATTAACAGTTTGAGGATTTACAATTAATATTAATTAGGAAGTCAGAATAAAATTCAGAGTACTGTTATGAATGAGTCACTCACACAACATCTCTTTAACATAAGCACATCTCAATTTATTGTTTTGGGTTGTTAAAAACCTTTAAAATATTTGATTTTATCTTGTTTTTATAAATGCATTTCATATTCAATGAGTAAAATTTATCTTTAAATTTATTTTTTCTTGCATCCAAGATAATACAGTAAAAATAAGTAAGTTTCTATATTTCTAAAATAAAAAGATGGCCTACAAGGTAATGAATAGCATAAAACATATGCAGAACTATACAATGAGCTTCTTTTAAATATAAGAAATAATAAAAAATACAGTTTAGACATTTCTCTAAGTTTTCACTTATTGAGCATGTCAATCTTGTGTAACAAGTTTGAAAACATTTCTTTATCTAAATTACTGTCTGTCAAAACGTTTATACTTTACAGCCGTATCTGCAAATATATTACAAACAGTAGCTTGATGACATTTAATACTCTTTAAGTTGTTCTCGCTATTTCTCACAAGTTGTTTGGTTCACATGTACAAACTTCTACGTCACGTGTCAGTTGCTGCTGCTAATTGTCATTCATACTTGGTTTACCGTCCTTACTTTTCCAACAGTACATTTCATATATATAAATTACAGCCCAATGATTTTGCTCCTATCAACACAAAAGGTAGCAGCGAAATTCCGTACTTCTATACAAACTAAGTGTTCGAACATATTATTAATACTAATACTATTAGTTTACCTTATTACCACTACTAGCCTGTCAATATACTTATATAGCTAAATTTTAGGTCACTGTTCAACACTCACTGTCGTCGATAATAAAATTTCGGCATTTTTCAAATCCAAATCTCTGACTAAACACATGTAATCCAATCTTATTTATAACCAACTGAACAAAAACTTAATCAAAGAAAAATATCCCTATTCAGTCATGGCCGATTATCGTTCTATTCCTGCTGGTCGATAACATGCTTAGCTTTAGGCTTAACTTATATCTTATCAAATAAGAACTATTTGGGGCACACAGTAACTCCAAGTTGTAAAAGCACTGATTCGATGGTAATAAGAAATGTCCTTTGTTACATCACGCAAAAATTCGTTGGCCTCGTGTGCTGGTAATCGACAACTTACTTTCGAGTTTTAATTAATTACTTCGTACGTATAACATGGATTGTAAAACATGCCATGTCACTTATATTTTGAAGTATAGCAGTAGTGCTTACAGTAACAGTTAAAAACATTCAATACTTTCTCAACTTTTTACCAAATTTTACAGTGTATGTACTTTAAAACACTACAACGTATAAAAAAAAGGTTAAAAATACTGACAGTCAGAGTATACATTGATACAAACACATTTTTTCTTCAACCGATATTTTTGGGCAAAAACTACATACATTTTTACGTGTGTATGATTTTCACTCTAAATATTAAGAACACAAAAGTTCTGAAAGAAAAATGTTTGAGATAATTTTGGGCAACAGCTTGACATGAATGTATAAATGAACTATATACATATATAAATTAAACTTTTAGAGAGAAAAATCACCTTTGAAAACTATGGTAATAATTTATTAACTTGGCGACGTTTCGAGCAAACGCCTTTTTTCAAGCCAAAAACAAGCCTGTAGGTTAATGACAATTACAAGAACGTTTTGAAATGAAACAATACACAAAACGGAATAGTAACGCAAAATAGAACTACGAGAATTAAACAATATAGCAAAATCAATAATAAAATAGAGCTGACGTTTAAAAACAGTATTAAAAACTATTAGAATTATAGAACAACTTTATATAGTTATCGAGATTGTGAATCGTTGTGATTCATAGCGTGTATTATGAAAATTAAGTTTAAAATGACGAGAAACGTACTGATTGTGGAACTACTGTGCACTAAAAGTTTGTATCGAGGATGAATAAACTGGTTCAATCAAGAAAGGTCTTGTGTCGCTGAAGATCCTCGGGAAGAATTTCTACCGGATACAAACAAACAAGCAGTGATGCAACATCGCGTTACAATTCTGTTTTGTGCATTGTTTCATTTCAAAACGTTCCTGTAATTGTCATTAACCGACAGGCTCGTTTCTAGCTTGAAAAATGGCGTTTCCTCGAAACGTCGCCAAGTTAATAAATTGTTACCATAGTTTTAAAGGTGATTTTTTTCTCTAAAAGTTTAATTTATTTTATTTTATCATCTTTGCATTTATTCATATATATATGCCGCTCTGCTTCGAACTTTCGCCTTTATGAAATTATGACTGACACACACTACTTCTAAAGCGCCAAAATGACAAAAGAATTTTTCTTTTCAATAATAATTTCTTTTCAACGAAATATTGTAACCTGAATTAACGTTAGTAATTATTAACATCTACCCACAAACATACTGTCTATCGATCAGAACTAAGCACAAACTTGCAAATAAATTAAACCAATTCTATATAACAAACTTATTTAACTAACGTAATGCCACTAATAAATGTATGAAGCACTTTGATCCTCATTTTCATCAAAACCTAAAAAATACTTTCATTTATCTTTACATCAGGAGGTCTGTCATTTTCAGATTTAACACTGACATAATGAAAAATTTGGTTCATCTTGCCAATGTACTTAGCTATATCTAACATTATTAAAAAGAATGGTGCTTATCTTATTTCACTCACAATATCTCTTTCATTGCTTTTAGACAGAACCTTGATAACTTTTCTGTGACTGTATTTTTGTTTACAAGTCTTTCTCCTCACAGATTACTTTAATCCAAGCAGGCTCACACACTTTTTTGCTAGTGATCACCAAATAACCAGCAGGATTCACAATATACTGAATCAAGTTTAAGTGAACAACATAGCCATAACACCTGCTTTTGTTGTGTGATGATAAAAATGTTCTGAAAAACATCTATTACCTTGTTCTTTATCCCTTGGGAAAGGCCCTTTTGGGTGGTATGCTCCATGGTATATTTTGAACTGCTTCACTTGCTGATCGTTAATATTAAAAGGAAAATTAGCTCTACAAAAATTATCAATTGCAAATTCAGTGCCCTCATTTTGCACTTTTTTTCAAGTGCTGTTTGCTCCTTACTGTGTGTTTGTAGTAGACTTAATTTGTTATTTTTCCAGCCTATACTAGACTCAGGCTGTTCTATATCTCTCACTTTATTATCTGTCAATTTTGAGAAGTTTCAGTTTTTTTTTAAACTCTTGTTTTTCTTTTTTCTCTTTTGTGCTCCACTTTGTTGGTGATATTGACTTTGAGACATTTTACCCGCCTGTTTCATGTTTTGAGAAAAACTGCCATCATGACTGTGTGTATAAGCACAGACTAAGGTATACAGATTTTAAGCTGTTTCCTGTGCTTTGACTGACTGATGCTGCCATCATGTGATTGGAGTGGAGCAGCAGCTTTCCTGCTTTCGTGACTAAATTGGCAATGTGTGTGATAAACAAATTAAGAAACTTAGGCCATCATACATTTTAAAGTTTATCACCCTGTGTTTTAAGTTACCAAACTAATAATCTATGACCACATTAGGTAGACATTATCATGTACAATGGTCTCCAAATCCCAAGGATATTTAAAGATTAATCAAAAGCAACTAGCTATCTTAGCCAGCTGTGAAGAAGCATGTCTTTTTTTATGGGTTTTGAATGTTGTGCTATAAATTGCAACAAATATTTGAAAACAGATAAAGCCGTGTCATATCACAGGTTTCCTCAACCTACGAAGAAGGATAGGCAAGTATCAATTAATTCTATAAATATTAGTTCTGTTAGCAGATGAGATTCAATGCCAACAGTGTAGTATGTGCTCCTTGTTGAATTACTTGTAGATATATAATCACATGTATATATATGAAGTGAAAAAATAATATAGAATTATTTTGACACAATGTACATCTTAATATATAATTCATATTTATTAAAATTTTAACCAAATTAATAATAAATATAATTGTTATAAATGTATGAATAATACAAAATGCTCATATTTGTGAATACTTGTTAGTTTTAAATACAGAAGTACTGACTATTCCAAAAGATAATGACAAGTCAGGCATCATTTATTTGTTTTTACAGTTTTCTTGTCCTATTATAGTTATTTAGTATAAAATAAAAGGAAGACTTATTATTATTATAGTTGTAAAGTGAAACTTAACTGACAGTATGCATTGCCATTTGATGTCTAAAATTATCTTATGTACAATCTGTATTGTTTAGCCCAATGTACATAATTTGTGTTGTTAGGGTAAATTTGTTACAGTTATGTTATGTTTTCTTTGTGCTTTAGTTGTAAAGTGAACTTAACTGATAGTATGCATTGCCATTTAACATCTAAAATTATCTTATGTACAATCTGTATCTGTATGTCAATGTACATAATTTGTGTTGTTAGGGTAAATTTGTTACAGTTATGTTATGTTTTCTTTGTGCTTTAACTTAATTTGATAACATAAAGATACATTAAGAACCTGTATATATCAAGAAAGAATGCAGTGTTCACCAGACACAAAATATCATGCTCTGTTCCCATGTCACACAAGCAGCTTCACTCCATCTGCTAGATGTCTCTAGTAAATCAGGCTTTCCAATAGGAGTTTAATGTCTTTATAGCTTAATCTGTAGTATAAACTGGGTAAGATATGATGGAGGAGGGATCTCCCTAGCTTTGCTATTTTTTATCCCTGGGACTGCATTCTCAAGTATCATCCCCAGGGGGAGGAATTTATCTCCTCTGATAAAAAAAATTAACACTACCTATAAAAAATGTGTATAATATTCCTTTCATTGTTGTTTCAGTTCTTGAAATTATGCTATGTAATAGAGCAAGTACTTGTCATCAGTGCTCTTTAAGTTATATTTAGTTTCTTTGTAGCATTAGCTTTGTAATTGGTATTTCATTCCATATAAAACAATACACACACACATATATATATACATATAATTTTGTTTTTCTTCAGAAGTCAATTTGGTATAAATAAGTAATTTACTGAGTGCCTGACTGTTTAAATTGCATAGTAATGATTTGTCACTATCAGTCAATATGTTTTATTATTTAGGTATCTTATCCTCCCCCATTGGAAATTTGACAAGTTGTGCCCTGGGTATAAGTGAAGTCCCTTAGTAACCAAACTCAGCAGTTCTAACAATGCTGATTGACTGACGCTGATTCTCTGGAGACCTTTGACCAATCAGTCAATGTGGATTATTTGTGTGTGCATAAGGTAGGAAAGATTTTTGTTTTATTTTACTACCTTTCTTCCAGCCCAAGTTCCCTTGGCTCCCAGACCCCATAGTAATGCTATGGCTGCTACAGCAGTATGTATGCTACAGCTCTCAGACACATGTGGACAGCAACATCAAGTCATCTACTGTATCAGCTTTCAGAAATGTAAGATAGTATGTTTTCATGCAGGAAAATCCTGTTTCACAATGGCTGTTGAAGTACTGATTATAGGGAGAAAAGTCACAAGAACCAGAATATGAGACAGGTTCTTGTGCAACAAATCTGTATACACATGATGAAGCATTTATCTTCTATGAACTGCCAACCAGATATTGATATCAGTCCATTCCTGTAGGATTATGTCACATTCATCTTCTTTCAGAACATTTTCAAAGTGTTTTACTAGTTCAACTGTCTCACAGCCATAAGTAACCAGCAGAGATGTGTCAAACATGCTGAAACAAGACAGAAGCCTTTGGGAGAAGCGCTGGAATTTCTCATCTATGTACTTTACTGTGTTATCAATTATTCTATTGAATTCTGACTTCCATGGTACAGGATCTACTTTACTGTCAGAAGCATTCTCAGAGACTTGTCAGGACTATTGTTTATTCTTGGTCAACTGGATACCTTTGTATACCACCTCACCCTGATTACCTAAAACCCAAATTACTGTATCTTTAATGATACAATACGGTTATACAACAGATAGTATGAAAAAGCTGTGTCATTATGTCAAAATCTGACACAATCATCTTAATACAAATTTCTGCCACTGTTGTCTGTGCTTGAGTTTCTGTAGCTACTTGTACATTTACACAGTTCTTGTAATGTGCAAAACTGTCATTGATCTTTATGGGAACCAGATCGCAACTGGTCATTTTGTCATAGTTTCAAGTATATTCTACAAAACTGAATTTCCAACAAAGGTAGTAGAAACATTTCATTCTTCTCACTGTCATATGTGAGCAAAAAATATTCTTTCATTTGCAATGGCACAAAAGTGTGCTTCCTATTTATTTCTTTAAATTCATTATTTTTTACCATCTGCCTTCTCATGTAGTGAGAGAGGTTGTTCATCTCCAGCTGCGCTGCTACAGGTAAAAATACTTCTGCAGATTAGTCATATTTTGAAAGAAATTATCGGCCTATTTTTCCTTTGCACTGAACAGAGGTTCATCAATGTAAATTGACTAACACAGTTTACTAATATATTGCTGGGAGAAATATGGAAACAGCATATGCAAGTTGATGGTGAAAGGCGAATCTAAATGGTTAACAACAAACAAACATTATAGCTATATTTTGATTAATCAGATAGTTGTTATAATTGAAAATAATAATAATCATAAACCCTAATTTAGATTAATTTATTATTTTCATAACAGTCAGTTTGATCATAATTTCAATAAACTGATTGTTGCAATAATCAAAAACAGTAATAATTCATTAATCAACTTTTTTAATAACTGGAAACATTAATTTCAATTAGTCAGTTTAAGCATAAATTTCATTAAATGATTGGTTTATGTGACACTAATCAATATAATTAATTATATTGACTAACTAATTAAATTGCCAAATTCTGCTATTAACTAATGACTTTTACCCTAAAACTGATCAAAGCATAAAATGTATCTGCTCTTTCTTTTGGTCATCAGCTATGTAAGGTAGATTAGCAAGAAATGTCAAAAGTTAAAAAAAAAGATGGAGGGGGGGGGGGCTTCTCTAGTGCATTTAACAAACTTATTGGTATCTCAGAAAATCAAAAAGGGGAGTAAAATCAAATGTTAGACTTTTGCTAATAATTACTAAAACTATACACTTTTAAACTAAAGGAAATAATAAGATGAAACAAAATGTTAAGTCAGAAAATAGACTGATTATTTCAAAGTATAAAATGCTGGCTGAACCATTTTGCTGAGATGTTTGTTTACTAACCCTGATAATTGATAATATGGCCTCAAATCTTGATATTTTTCCCATTTTTAAGTTAAAAAATGCATTTTCTGAATATTTTAAGCTATGAAAAGTAACTAATTAGGTCATAGCATGTTTTAGTCTGACACCTTTTACTGGGCTTAAAAATCCTCATTTCTTCAACTTAGGCATTTTACCATTAAATTAAAATTCATGCTACTGGTATTTCTAAGCCTTAAAGATATTACAGATTTCTTTTCACCAAAGGTAAAACTGAAAATTTAATCTGAAACACAGAGACTTGATCTATTCTTTCATAATGTTATAAGAAAAACAAATCAGCTTGCAAATACCTACATCCAAGCAATATTCTTTTATTTTTCAAACTGATAGTAAGTTTCTACATGAACATAGACACATGCATGATTAAAATAAACACATACACAATTAGAATATGACAAATCTCAATAAGTTTAATTTGTATTTCAGATTAACTTTGCAATTTGCTGTTGTTTTCATGTTATAAAGATTTTCCCACTAATGTTTATGTTTTTGCTAAATTAGTGTTACTTTTGAAATTGTGTAATCTTGTACCAGTAATGTAAGTATATCACAGATGTACATAAATGATAACAAAATGTACACAAAAAATGTTTTTCATGAAAAGCTAGCAAGAGAATAAACAATTTTTTGTATGTATTTTTATTATAATGTCATTCATTTTTAGAAAATATATTAATAAAATAATTACATAGAACAAACTTTCCAAAGTAAAATAAGCATATATTGTCATATGTCAGGGATTCAGCTAGTGTTTTTGTATCAGAGGGTGCACAATGATAAAAAAAATAATTCTACTGATTGTACAAGCATACCATAATATTTTACTTGCAGTGAGCATAAACAAGCATAACATATAATAATATTTTATGTTAAAAGTACACATTTTTCTTACACGAAACAACTGATCAATGTAATCTTAGAAATTAACTTTTTGTATCCGATATTTTTATGAATATGATTTTACAAATGTATTTTAGCCTGAAACTATTTATTGATATAATTTCACCAATTATAATTAATTTTGTACATGACAGTTTTTGTTTATGTAATTTTACAAACAAGCAGTACTCACAGATCAGGGACAGGATGACAGCTGGGATCAAGCACAGTAGCAAGAGTTGACAGCACAATTATTTTAGCACTGTGAAACCTATCTCTACATGAATTCATAAGTATCTCATACAAAACTATTCAAATTTACTTCTTGTAGATACTATTTTATAATACGTTGTGTACTAATCACTTGGATAAAGGAATGTGATCTATGCAAGTGCTAGGAACTCACCGAACAGGAGGCATGTGTGCTTATTGTGAACTTTTGTATTTCTAACAGCTGTTGACACACAATACTTGACACATAGCATTGTCAGTTAATTTTGCATATGTAAATAAATGGAGAGTTCTACAAATACAGTAACTGGAAGGAGCATCTTAATAAAAGTGGCCAGTCAGTATTTTTAAAACCGAACAGTTAAGCTCATTACCGTATATATCATATTTCTGTAAACAAAGCGATTGTGACAATAACACAAACATCACATGATCTCTCAATCAAAGTAATTTTAAAATGAATTCTTTCCAGCCACTAGTCACTAATGGAACTAAGCTTGTGAATTAATCTTTAGGTTTAGACAAAAGAAATCTTTATGTAAATATAACCTTAATCACTTTTTTCTTTTACCCAAAACTAGTTATATAGTTATTTATACAAACAATTTATTTTTATTTTACATTATTTGTAGATGTAACCAATACATAAATTCACGTTTAAAAATATTTGTCGATAAGAGTCTACAAACACTTTAAATTTCTACAATTTTATTGGTTTGTGAAATTCTGCAAACTAACCTCAAATGACGAGCTTTCTTTCTAGAGCCTTTCCAACTACTCTGGAAATTATTGATGTCAGATATCATTCCTCCTTTGTCTGTTATCTCATCTTCTTCAGATATAGAGAATCGCACTTTCTGTGTCTCCCTGTCAGAAAAATGTGATATTTAAACTTACATACGTGTAAACCAAGAAATAATTTAGTAATAATCTTTGCCAAATACTTAGTTTCTGAATTAGTTGTATTTTTTTTACTTTTGAAAGGGGTGTCATCTAAAGCAATAATATATATATATATATATATATATTTTCAAGAAAGTTAAATATAAGGTATTTAACTTTTTAAGATGGATATGAATTTCAAGCTGGCATTTAACTGTGAAATATGAAAAGGCTTTCCTTGATGAGATGTTCTTTATGTTATTAACAACCACATGACTAAAACTCTGAATACCCTTGACAACATGCAAAGCTCACATCAACTTATTCAGAATTCTCCATGCTTTCAAATGATTTTTTTGTTTTTATTATGTCTGTGTCAAGAGGACATACACAAGCTCTGCTTTCCAATCGTAATTCAGATTTCCTAATTGCAGTTGTGATGGAAAACCACATATCGCCCAGTTGTGGGGAGTGGGGGGCTAATATGTTTTAAATGTAAGTACCTGTCTACGATTTATTTTCATTCTAAAAATGTAAAATTCAAAACAGTCATACTTGTATACAAATTACAGAAAGCCAGAATACCCACACTAAAATAAAGAAGGGAACTGCAGAGAATCATAAAATTAATGGTTCACCAAATACCAGGCTTTTAAGCCACAACAAATGAAAAACCTGATCGAGCAAAGCATGAATAGAATTTCAAACCAGAGTAAACATCAATGAACTGAATTCATGAGAGTAACAAATGTAATGGACCCGCATCATTAAAGACTGAACTAAGTGAAACCACACAAAAAAAAAAAATTCTTCTCAGCATTCTCATCACGTTAAGCCCTTTTTTATAATAAATAAAAGGGGAGTTAGGTGACATATATGTAGCTCTGAACAATGTTCCTTCAAAGCAATCTGGCAGGTACTGCTCACTGAAAACAACAGGTCAGTCACATATTAGTCAGTTGGTAATAGTTTCATGTGGAAAACAAAGGCCTACAATTTGAGCAATACCATGTCCCAACATAAGGTAGAAGCACAGGTGCGAACAGCTGCTCAGAACAAAAGTTCTGAGTGGAAAAGTAGTGCCTAGTGCAAGGAAAAATTACAGGGAACATTGCTTATGGAGCTGTCACATTCTCAAGTGTAGTCATAGATGGTGGTGTAACAAGTTTTCAGGGTCGGAGCATAATGTATTTTCCTGTTCCTGTAATGTAAAATTCTCAGAGGTGTAAACTAGTAATATGTAATGACTGGACATGCTCCTTAGGCTAAATCCCTGCATTCACACTGGAAAATTCCCACCAAGTCAGAAAACCATTCTAGTCAATGGGCACCGAGAAATAATAAAAAGAGATACAGACAGACCAAAGGAGAATAATGCAATGAGAACATTGAATAGATTGAGAAAGAGAAAAATTAAAGAGTGAGGAGTTCCCCATCCTGTATGAAGCTATAAGATATCATAGTGAGAATGGCCATCTCAGCCCCATTTTATATCTGGTTAGTATTACTTGTATATAAAATGTACCTTGTCACAATCATATTGCACATATCTTGATAAAATCTGTAGCTTGTAAATATTTGTTGCTTCCCTTAATCTAAATACTATGATACAGGCCCATACAAGCAGTGCTAGTTTTATCAACCTGGTATAGCCAAACAAGCATGAATTTTGGAAAATCTGACAAATGTTTCGGATAACTTCTGGGAAGGTGTCACCTGATAATGGAGATATTTATATATAATATTATAAATATTTTAATACACACACATAAACTTAATATAAGATTTTGTATCAGTAAGTGTATGTGATTTGATTTAATGAATCACAATAAGGATCATATCTTATTAATATACATGCTCATTAGATCTATGCATTGAAACCTCAATAAGGATTACCCTAGCTAAGAGTGCATCTCTATAAAAACACTAATTAGTAGTATGACAATCCATACCAAAACCATATGGTCTACAGTGAAATCTGTCATTTAACACACACACTTTATATTAATAAGATATGATCCTTATTATGATTCATTAAATAAAAGTGTAGACATTAGTACATATTACCATGTATTTTACACAAATAAGTCTTGACAAGCCACATTTTATGGCAGCCATGCTCACTAGTTCTATGCGTTGAAACCTCAATAAGGATTACCCAAGCAAAGAACGCATCTCTATAAAAACACTAATTAGTAGTATGAGAATCCATACCAAAATCATATGGTCTACAGTGAAACCTGTCATTTAACACACTCTTTCTGCCATAAAAATGTGGCTTGTCAAAACTTATTTGTGTAAAATACATGATAATGTGTACTGAAGAAAGTGCTCTTACAAGACAGGAGTACTTAAAATACAATACAATGTGATGTAGGATATCTAGATTGTAAATTTACCACTGATAGAACATAAACAATAGGCCTAGTCACTAAAAACAACTTCGACTTACCCTCGAGTAAGCTATGTAGTTAGACATCTTGTACACTTTCTACAGTCTACATCATGCACCCAGCCGGCCACAAAATACTTGTAAGCATCAAGGCTTTTATAGGCCTTGAACTGCTTTCCAGTGTAAAAAAAATGCTGTCAGGACTAAATAATTTACGAAATCTATATTCTCAACCTGTGGGACTTTAACGTTGGTTTTTTGGTGTAACTCGGGTCCTCCGTTTGTAATCTCAACTAATTTACTGCCATCTAGCGGCGATTGTCATCGCTGACAGGATGGAATAAGGATCTGTCGTGTCAAGACCAACTTTTCTGCTTGCACATATTGTCTAATTTGCCAGTAAATTTGTGAAAAATGAATGGAGAACTAGGTGATTGTGTAGCGGAGGCCATGTTTACATGAATAATGTTTACATCCAATATGGCCACAAATTGTTGCCTTGTTTACTTTGGTCACATAACTGCATAACCTCTATACCACGAAGACCCCTCAAGTGGTCCTGCAGAACATCCCATCTCAACAGTCAGCATATAAATAGAGCCGGGGCAGATGGTATAAGTGTCTTCCTTTATCCTGGCTCAATGCAGAATTTTGAAAACTAAGTGTAACCTGGGAGGAAACACCAGCCACCTAGCAGTGTGCAGACCGAAGAAGGTTGAATGGAGGCAGGAGATAACCCTCAGAAGGCAAGACAGCCAGATGTTGAAGATAATGAGCAACAAAAATGTGAGATGTATTCCACATGCCATAAACAAAAGGCAGAGGAATGGGCAAGGTGATGGATTTGGTGAGGGGAAATAAGGAAAAGTCTGTGGGAATTGACCCTAATAAAAGACTAGACCAAACAGAGCAAGTGGCAGATCTAGCCTGTAAGGATGGATGGAAATAAGTCCCTGGAAGAAGAATCCCAGAGAAGAAAGAGACAAAGACGAGTGCCACAAAAGATAAAGGTACAGGCAAGATAACACAGGACAGTCCAAACTGGGCACAACAGAGGGTTCAGGTCATATCGATCATAGAGGTGTGAAATAGGGAAGAAGGAGCAGTCACCTTCCTGAGCTGCAGAAGCTTTAGGGAGAAAGGACAGATCAGGATAAAGGAGAAGGTAAGAGTGATGATAGAGGGTACAGGAGGAGTCTATCAAATATATGTCTGAACGATGGCAGCCAGAGGTGAGGAGTAACAGAAAATAGGTCTTGAGTGAAAGTTGGTATAAGGATCAGGTGGCCATTGGCTCAAAAGGGGCTTGGTAAGAGCTTGCACGACAAACTTCAAGTCCCAATTGGGAATGGGAACAGGGCAGGAAGAATAATGTAGAAAGAAAGATCAGAACAATAAGGAGAGGACTAGGGAAAAAAACATCTTGCGATATAGGGAAAAGCAAAAGGTGGTAAAAATAACTGGCAATGGTGGAGACAGCCAACTCTTTGTCAAACAGCCAAGTAAAAAATTAGTAATAACCAACAGTGAGACTGTCAGCAGGAAGGTGACAATCGATGGGATAACAACAAAAAACACACCATTTATGCTGGTAGATGGACAGGGTAGACAACAGTGTGAAAGGAATCAGGGTTGAGCCAGCTTTGGAGGTGCCACTAAGAGGACACGACAAGGAACATCACAAATCAATGCCAGAACCTGTGGTAGACATTGGAGAGGTGGGTAAGCATACAGGAAGAGATGAGACCAGTCCTGATTGAAAGCATCAACAGCTAAGGCCGAATGATGAAGGACAGAAGACCAAAAAAGGAGAAGCTTGAAACTGAAAAGTGTGACAAAAGCATCCATGAGCAGAGTTCCCAGAAGAGAACACCTGCATAAAAAAAACCTGTGGGTGAAGATATCACTCTGTGAGCAGAATATGGTCTAGTTGAGAGAGTTAGTGCCCAATGAGGTATATAGCACCCACAAAATAACACACAATGAGAAGAATCTATTGAGAATGGGTCCAATAAAGAAGGTCAAGGGTTTGAAAACAAAGGGTCTTGAATTTGGTTCCACCCTGAGTGTTGATGTAGGAACCAATGGTGGAGTTCTTGCAATGAACCATAACCAAATGATCAACCAGAAGGAGAAGGAAATGGGAACATGCCCGATGCCCTGACAACTCTGTTGAACACATAGGATGCCAATGCAATGCTGAATGGAAGAGCCGTGAACTGGAAGACATGATCCTGATGAATGCATAAAAAAAAACCTGTTGAAGACTTAGAGATGGGAATATGAAGGAATGCATCTGAGATGTTGACCTTGGTCATCCACAGTCTGGGTGAGAAGGACCAACATAGGGAAAAGAAATTTTCTATTCAAAAATGTGGGATGACCAAATAATGATTGAGATCAGAAAGGTCGATGACTGGCTGCCAATCCCCAGTTTTCTTGGGGAACTCAAAAAGGCAGGAGTAAAGCCCAAGCAATGGGTCATACACCCTCTCTATGGCCTGTTTGTGTAAGAGAGTAACACTATATCTTCTGGATATTCAAGATAAATGGGATCCAAGGGAGGAGTGAAGTGAACCAGACATGGGCTGAGAGGTAGAGGGAGAGAACCAGGGTGTCCCACCTGTCTGTGGATAGGTGTTCCCAAAGATTTGCATACCTCAGCAGACAAGCACCTAAAAGTTCCAAATCCATCCCACAGTCCCTGACAAGCCCACTGAAACTAATGTCGGACCAAAGACTATCAAGTGGAAGGAGAAGGACAGGAAGAGAGAAAGGAAAAATGGAAAGTGGCAGGACTAGGATGAGACACAAGAGTGGAACATGGGGGTTGGGATAGGCAAGAAACTAATGAGGTTAGCGAGGACTGGTGCTGAGCAGCATCTGCCCAAGATTCAATACAATCAGGAATACTCCCAAAAACAGAAGGATGAATAAAATGGGTGAGGCAGAGGTCCCATAAACAGGAGGAGAGAAGATGGATATGGGACAGAAAGGTATCCCTACTCAATAAGTCCCAACAACAGATGAGCCAAGAGAGCAGGGAAAGGGCAGAAGAAGTAGTATGGTCCATGGTGGAAAGGGAAAAGTAATGGGAATTGCCAGCAAAGTCAACTGGGGCTTGGAGAAGTGCTTCCGACATGAGGTGTTGGGGGAAAAGGCAATGAAGCACAGAAAGTAGGATTAGGTGAAGACAAGAGAACTGAGCACTGGAGAGTGATACAGACCCCAGTGGGTCCAACCCACAAACAAGCAAAATGGAGTCCAATGTCAGTGACTCCAAAAATGAGAAGTTCAAATGACCATAGGCCATGACATGGGAGAAGAACGAAACACAAGATCATGGGAACAGAGCCGATCTAAAAAGGACACAATATCAGAAGGGGAAAAAAATGAAAAAATTCATTAGGGTGAAGGTTGTGAACAAGAAGAGTCAGAAGACACAGGAACAAGAGATATAACAAACCTACTGATTGATAAGCTCCCTATAAGTGAGGAAGTATGAACAGTCTCCTCAACAGGGAGAGAGGTTCCTAAAACATAACCAGGAGGAGGAAATAAATGGTCAAAGTCATCTTCCTCATCATATGAGGGAAAGGAATTCCAGAAGATCGGATGGGCACCAAAACACCCAGTTCCAAAATAGAACTCACTACCCAATGTACAATGGCTGTCACGTCATCCACATTTAACGTACCAACAATAACCAACTTAATAATTTGATTACTGTGAGACTATTCCTTACTCATTCCAGATGTTGAAGTAAAATGAACTTGAGAGTTCATAGTTGTCAGAAATAAATTAAACAAAGTCACTTTATCAGACAGCAAATCTCTGTGACTTTTGAGCAAACAAATACACCTTAGCTGAACTGTGCCAAAAAAAAATTCAAATCACAAGTGCAAAAGTATAAAAAGAACTAGTGCACAGGGAGGTTGTGTCACATTTTGAATATGCAAATCAATAAGTCACATGACAACCACAGCCAATATACAGTCAAGATGGAATGACATGTATCAGGAACTACATTTTGACACTGCTTGGCATTTTGAGGGTACTTTTAATGCAACCAAAATTGATCTCTTAAGGAAAATGTAAGCAACAATCTTTTCAAAAGTAAAATAATCATGCTCTCAGTTCATACAGGTGTGTTTGGATCAGGGCTTTAAAATTTTCAAAGCAAGGATATTCCTTATAAATAATGACTGCAAAACAAAGGAATATGGATCAATTTGAGCCACCAAGATCATTTGCAAAGAAACCTGCAAAAAGTATTACCCCAGCCATAGTAAGCAGAGCGTAGAATCTTGTAACAGATAAGAATTCACAAACAAAAAGGTCAGTGACAAAAACCATCCACTTATCTCGGGCAATAATATTGTTACAATAATATTGTCACATGACACTGGTAACACGTAATGAGTATCTAGAAGGTTCCTGAAGGCTCAAGTGTTTGCCAGACGTCCTCTATTTTGTATATATAAGATCAGCAAGAAGTGACGACATGGATAATTGCAGACAGGCAGAGATGGACAATTGAGTCAAGCGAGGTAGTGACCGTAAGTAGTAAAGTGCGTGAATCGTTGTGAATTATAGCATGTGTTTAAGTTAAAGTGACTGTGGAAATTAAGTGTATTGCAAGGTTGTATTGAGAAAGAATAAAGTAGTTTTATTTAAGAAAGGACTTGTATCCCTAAAGTTTCTTCGAAACGAAATTATACGGGAAATTAACAAACGACCAGAGATATAACAATATGAAACATAATCAAGAAGAATCTCCATTCAGACATAAAGCCAACTGGATATGGGTTCATCAAAACTTGGCTTTCACTAACACCTCCCATTCAATTATTGCATACCTCAAGCAGTTTGATAATGAAAGGGAAATTTGTACTATTCCATACAAAGACATAAAAGTCATGTTGCCAGATGCAGTGCCTCTAGATTTCTGTGTGATCAAATTGTTGAAACAGGCAATGAGAAACAGTCATACCTAATACACTAGATGTATTGTGGAAAACTTGCAGGGAGAAATGGTGTTCTTTGGACATGAAAGCCTGGAGGTGGAAACTTTAGCAATGGATACTACACTGTATGACTATTGTCAAGATGCACAATCATCAGATAGAGCATGAATGGACATGGACTTTGACTACAATGATTTGATAAAGATCCAAAAAAGCTTAAATATAAAATAGTCAACCTCTGTATTAGTCAGATAATGATAAGTTCTATAGAAAGATTAAATTAACTTTCTGTATTTATATACACTTAATATATACATGTTTAATTTTATCAAACTAAATGTAAAAATTTATAACCCTTACTTTTCTGGACCATTTTCACATTCCTCAGTTATGATATGCTCAAAATCATCACTTTTTTCACTATTTCCATTACTATTCAAAGAACTAAAGGCCTCTGTTGCTTCACTGCCAGAAGATGCTCCTGTGTTGTCAACATGGACCTCTGGGTGGACATGTGCCACATTATCATTTGGAACTGGATTACCACTCATTGTAGATCTTGAAGTAGCTATAGGTAAAATCAATAAAATAAAGTCAGATGAATAAAACATATTTTATAGCGATAAATACATAGTACAAAGCTCACACTTCAGTATTAATAAATGTATACTTGTAACTGACAAGACTTTTATAATATCCAATATTATCTAAAAACATTTTTGTCAAATCATTTATTTTTTGATGAATATCATATTACAATTTAGAAATAACTGAATAACCCTACTGAAGAAAAAAAATATCAAAATTTTTGGCAGAGATTATTTGTCAATAGATTATGAAAATTAATTACCATTTTGTCATTTGAAGGTACTTTGACAAAAGCACATTGAATTAAACTGATTATTTGTTAATCGTATAGGAATCACAATTTCAAAATGCACTTATTATGACAGGCTTATTTTAGATGGCACAATTTGAGATTTCTTTAGAGATAATATAATGGAGGTTATGAGATTTGAATAAAATCATATTTAACCAGTTAACTGCAGCTGCTCTAAATGCGTGCAGAATTTTTTGCAAGCCTTACACTGTATACGGCACGCTAAAATTGAACTGCCAACATATCAGCAGTCAATGGGTTAAAATGTATGAAAAAACTTAGAAGTGGAAATACAGCACAGGGGAAACAGCAGTTTATAAATAATAATAACTGAGATATTTTTGAACCATCTTGTTCAATATCATTTAGTTTATAACGTCTATAAGGCCATTAACCATAAATGCATATGGCTGGTACGTTGGACCAGTCCCATTCTGGAGAAGGAATTTTGACTCCAATTCTGAATTTACTATGTGTATCTACCTGAAATATGACAAGCTTGGAGAAAAATGTACAATTATGTTGCACATAAAAAATCAGGTGTGTTAAACAAGTACTTATACACAAGTCTGTGAGCAAGGTGTTCATGTGAAGAATAAAAATACTTCTGGTCATTAGAACCTCCAAAATCCATATCTACATTTTTTTCAGTATCCCTGTACATTGTATCTGTAAAATGAATAGCTAATAACTCTAACATAAAATACATAATACCATATTGAATGGCATTATGTGAAAGATTGTGGCATGCACACTTTGACCCCTACTCAAGCATATAGGGTTAAAGACTTGTGGTTAATACTGATAGTTTAATAGAGCTTCAGTAATAGTTATAGTGAATAATAAAAAAACTATGTATACATTTAAAAATCTGCCTTGCAATTTCATAATTATTAGGAATTACTTCCAATCACATCATAATCCCTATCATGAGACATCCCAACCAACTCTTATTGAATCATTAGAATATTTTCTCTAAATTTTGTAAGACTAAAACTTATACAGTATAGATTGTGATATACTATGAAACTATACATCTTTGTTTTAACAAAATTGGCAAGCCAGTCTGGGATATTGATGAGGAGGGTTAACACACATATGCAAGTTATGCCATAGCATAGGACCCACACCTAAAGGCTATGTTGGTCTTCTTTGACACACCCACCCACAAGCTTTTTGTAAAAATGATGTTCCTATAGCCAGTATTTACAACGTATGTACAAATCATCAATAAATAACTTAGTATTTTAAAGTGATAGTAACTAGAATTACAAATTTAGGAAAAACAAGCACATGTGACCAAATAAACTTAGCTATACCATAGTTTTGTCACATAGGGTAATACTAGTAACAATAACAACAACAAAAATCTGATAGCTATTTTCGTTTTGACGTTACCTTACAAATTTCTTACACAAAGTGCTTTTCCAAAGTTCCAAGTCACTAGCAGTAGCACTGTCATAGAAACAACTTTAATATAGAAGTTCCATATTTGTTGAAAACGCCTTACGTGTATGTACATAAAAGCTCTACGCTGTAATTGCAAGTCGTACGATCTGGTGCTATTTTAATTCATCATTTTTGGCTCAATTAACTTGCTTGTGCCCTACATCCTGACTTAACAGTGCGTTGATCTGAGACGAGTACAGTATTTACAGCCCGTAGATAGGGTAAAACGAAAAGGTAAGAACTATTACTCCAGCCTCCAGTGGGCTTCACGAATGACTAAGTTCATCAACACACTTTTGAGCTTTACATATGCGTTATTCAATATTTCCATAGCGACATGAACCAACAGAAGCTGAAAATTGTCTACCACCACCAGTAAATGATAAGCGCACCTTTCACTGTATATTAAAACTGTTTAAGAAAAATTATTGTACAATCTAGCAGCAAGAAACAACTGATTTTAAAAGATAAATACCAGTGAATAAAATTCAACAATGAATGATTATATTGCATATGTTGGTTACTTATTACCTATTTTTACAATTTTTCCTTATTTCTAATTCATCTTTAACATTCGGAGGTATAGTTTAAATAGCCCAACATGGCTTGGTAGTTAAGGCGCTCGATTCGTAATCTACAGATTCGATTTCAGTCATCGAACAAGCTCGCTCTTTTAGCTGTGATGGCGTTACAATATAATGATCAATCCCAACTTTTCTTTGGTAAAAAGTGGCCTAACAGTTAGCGTGAGTGGTGTTGACTAGCTGCCGTCCCTCTGCATTATCTCTTATAAATTACGGATAGTAGCTTTACAAACAAACTTGCGGTATATAACGATAATTTATTTGTTCCTGTTGACTTAATAGTACTAAACATTATTTGTCTGGCATTGGATAATAAAATAATTGTCTTGCTATAGCTTTCTGTTCTAGCAGGTTCCACAAGTGAACTGTAGTTGTGATAGTAAAGAACAATCAGTTACTGTAATGCGACGGAGGTAAGAAACTTGAAGATGAGTTACTTGATCGGAATGTGTTCCAAAAAAATGTTTAATTCAATAAATATTTTTAATTATTCGCGTATCATATGCCTATTATAAAATGTTGAAATAGTGCAATCTGGATTTGAACATGACTATAAAAAATCTAACTTTCTTCATTGACACAACAAGTTCCTTCTATGTGAACTTGATTTTTTTTCTATTATAATTAATATAATAAATAAACAACATCAAAACAACTCTATTGAATTACGTATCAGCTGCCTACGAAGAATTAAATTGTGGCGGAATGCTACAAGTTCTTCAAATACCTATAGAATGTTAGGTTTCTTTTTTGTGAGTGTAAAACACTTAAATACACCATTTCGAATATCTATTACTATTAGTTTTCACCAGAAAATTAAAATTACGTTTTATTTGGTTAGATTCCGTCAAAAATTTTGTGTTTTTGTGATATTGTTAGAATGTACGTACAGTGATATATAAACTCATAATAATGATGAGTTTTTTTCCTTCTTTTTCACTCCTTTGACGAAAATCTGATGCCAGATGGACTGCGTTTCTTTGAGCAACAAGAACGGTGAAGAATACAAGTGATTTAAACTTAGAAATATTACATATGTTTATAAATTGTATTTGTAACAAGATAGTGTCATATCCGCAATTGGATTTGTCCTGGAATAAGACATTTGAAAAGTGCACACTGGATTTCTATAAGATAATATAACATTTACAATGACCAACTACGTTTCAATAATGTGAACAACATGATGATTTTCCATATCTTCAAAAACACTACTAAGATTTCTAGCTACATGATGAACCATTATATCTCTACAATTATTATTCGAATCCACAAAAAGCACGATAAAACACATATACCCACTAAGAAAAGTCAGAAGAAATATTTCAAGTTAAATTACCAATATTCCGCAAAATATATCTAATCTAAAAACGTACTTACTATTACTTCTTATCACAGCAAGCTACATACTTACAGCAAAACTAAATATCAATCTAGACATAAGTATACATAAAATTAAGTATAGCTTCTTACGTCTTTTACTTATAAACATCAGAATGGATTAATAACGGTCGGAGACGGCTTGAAGGGTTAACCATTATTAGTCTGAAAGTGCGTTCCTCGTCATCGAATCAGAATGGATTGTTTCGTCAGTTGGCAACCCTAGCTGTTATGTCGACGAATTCGAAGCAACTTCAATTTTCAAAAATATGTAACAGTGTTTTAACATGTTTAGATTTGTAAAGCTGCTTTCCTTATTGCTAGTAAATATTTCATATAAAAAGTTAATACCCAAAGATTATTCGATCACAACGGTACATTCTCGAGAAGACACGAACTAAGACATTTTACTCGGACAAGGTATTAAAACCTTGTTATCCTTAAAGAATAGTATTCTTTTTGTAGGTGTTAATTTAATATAAAAGAGCTGTGTTTACTTTTTATTTGTGGTTAAGCACAAAGCTACACAACGGGCTTTTTGTGCTATGACCACCACGGGTTTTTGGCGATATGAGCCCTCAGACTTATCGCCGAGCTAATTAAAGGTAAAAGGGCTGGGACACATTGCAACAAACTGTACATGACTTGAAAGATGTTTTACTTCATAAATAATTCAATTGCAAGTGTTCGTCCACAGCTTAATTTGAAGAAAAAAAATTAACGGTAGTCCTCAACTAGTTATGTGGCTCTTTCATCTGTATATTAAATAAATAAGCACTCACAAAGATGATAAAATGCTCTTATATGGAAATCTTTCCATACTCACACTTCTTAAATTACTTCTGCAAAAATGCTACAGAAATTTCCTGGCACGTGATAAGATCATCACCACCTTGACTGAGCCACAGATTTATCTAACTAAATAACTTTCAAGCAATATTTTACAGACAATACGGTAAAAATAATTTCAAAAAGGGGATATATATATACATATATATATAGAGAGAGAGAGAGAAACCGAGTACAAAATTATAAATAATTTAATAAATATATAGAAACAGATTGCAGCAAGAACCTGTAGATAACACGCGTTTAAGTTCAATCTCAGAATACGTCAGAATAATTCCATGAACGTAATGTTCCGATAGAAAATGTCCTTTTATAGGTCAATCATATCAAAGATGCAATATTGCATCACAACAAATCTTCCAACTTATTACTATGCAAAACAGACACTGTCCATTTCTAAATTTCCTTCATATATTTTCCAAGAAA